CCCCTTTCCCCTCTCCCCCTCCCCCTCCCCCAACTGCTCCACAACATTTTAGAATGTAAAACAATAATAATAATTAATTAAAAAGAAAAAAATATTGACTGCAGAAAACAACACTGATGTGAAGTCTAAAATACAGGGAGAATCAAATTCATAACAGTTCTCGCATGTAATATGAAAGGGAAGAAACAGAGTTTAAGTATTCTAAACTTCTTATACTATCCAAAAAGTGATCAGACATTAATTTATAAATATAAATAATAACAAAGAATGAACATTATAACCTCTGAGGAAACCACTAAAAGAAGAATAAAAGATGTATAATAACAAGCTAATAGAGGAGAAAATGAAAATTTTAAAAGAAGAAAAAAAAGGAGAGAAAAGAAACACAGAGCCGACAGAACTAAGAAAAAGCACCTAATAAGATGGTAGATTTAAAACCAAATACGTCACTTATTACATTAATTGTAAACCAACTAAATGTTTTCTAAAAAGACAATTTAAGATTGCATTTACAACTATTTTTCTATATACAGAACAACCTGAGAGTACAGAAAGGCTGAAAGTAAATATATGTACAGATGAGGGTACTTCAAAAAGTTCATGGAAAGATTCGTATTATCTTTCCTTTTTTTTTCTTTTTGGCAGCTGGCTGGTGTGGGGACCCAAACCCTGGACCTTGGCGTTGTCAGCAACATGCTAGTGGCCAGCCTCATTGTACTATCTTTCAATTCTATTTTTTCATGAACTTTTTTAGGTACCTTCGTATATATGTATACATTTGCATATATTTTCTACGCATATGTATATATATACACACATATTGCAAACGTTAACTAAAAGAACACTAGTGTGGCCATGCAGCCATCAGAGAGAGACTTTGAGACAAGCAGTATTGCTGGAGAAAAAGATTTCACAACATTGCAAGGTTGAATCCACCACGAGATATAACAATTCTAAATTGCTTTGCACCCAGTAAAGTGATCTCAAAATATTTAATGCCAAATTGACAAGTAGAGAAATGAACAAATTCACATCCACAGAAGATTTTAACACACTTCTCATAGTAATTGTGAAAAAACTAGGCTCACTCCCTCCCCCCCAAAATCGATAAGTATAGAGAAGAGTTAAACAACATGATTAATACCATGTACTTTATAGCACCCCACAGTATAAGCTGAGCCATAAAACAAGTCTAAGCAAACTTCAAAGGACTGAAGTCATAGTGTGTGTACACAGTGGAATTAAGATAGAAATTGCCAGCTAAAAATAACTTAAAAATCCCAACATTTGGGGCCGGCCCGAGGCTCACTTGGGAGAGTGTGGTTCTGATAACACCAAGGCCACGGGTTCGGATCCCTATATAGCCATGGCCGGTTGGCTCACTTGGGACAGCGTGGTGCTGACAACACCAAGTCAAGGGTTAAGATCCCCTTACCAGTCATCTTTTCAACAACAACAACAAAAAAAAAACCCATCGTTTGGAAGTTAAGCAATGCCTTTCCAAATAATCCATGGGTCAAAGAAAAAATTCATAATGAAAGTTTTAAAAGATTTTGGAGGAAAACAGAAATAATTAACTTACAAAATAGAGCTAAAACTATGATTAAAGGGAAATTTATAACCTCAAGTTGCACATTTTAGAAAAGAGAGTCTGAAGATCGATCACCAACCTTCTGACCCTTCGTCGTGCCTCCTCTGACGTCCAGGCTGACCCGCCTGTCTGAGCGGCTCAGGTCCTGAGCAGGAGCCCCTTCCTTCTCCTGCCCCAACTTGCTGTTTCTTTGGGAGCTGTCACCACAGTCGATCCCCGTTCACAGGGAAGCCCAGAGGGACCTGACACGGGGAGCGATGTGGTTCTGCAGCCTCTCCTTCTAGGTACTACCCCAGCTCTGACCAGCAGCCTTGATGCCCAGGCCACCCCCTGTCCTTCACAAGCCAAGGGGACCACAAAGCTGTGTGGAGCAGGGCTGGGGGCAGTGGCCTGAGCCAGACCCA